TGTTTTTTAATGTCTTTTTATTGCATATGTGCAATAAAAAATATACTTATAAGCAAATTCAAAACTCTAGTTCAAAACTATTCAAAACTATAGTTCAAAACTCTACAAACTGTTACAATTCATGAAAATAGAAAACAAAACCACTTTCATTTACAACGTGGAATAATTGATTAGACAATACTGTAACATAAGCCAAAATAAAACGGCCGTGTACACTCTACAAAAGTGAGATGCCATGTAAGGCAGAAGAAAGTTAGAGGAGAGCCTTTTTCGGACATCTAACTTCTGTAGTGCACATGTGCACTAGCTAGATCATGCATGACCTAGCTTATATAGATCTATCAGTATGAAAAACGCTTTCTAATTAACACAATAAAACATTATTACTGAGGATTAACTGAATCAGCCCTGAAAGTATTGATCAGGATATTCAGCTCGGAATCAGTGAGAAGAAAGGGACAATAACAAATATTTTTGTGAAAAATAATTTTCAGTTTTTTCAGGGCTGATTCAAACTCTGAGTCAGAGCTGAAAAAACTGGAAAGCTGATTCAGCTATTCAGACCTAGCTGATTGTCGACTAGTGGATGATGGTTTGTTGCGAAAAGAAATGCTCGGGCCTGATGTCCGCTTGCACTGTAGTATACAAAAACGTAAAAATTGATAAAAACATTAACAGATTTTTTGTTTTGACATTAAAAGAATAAGAAAAATTAATTTTTTCTACTTTTGTACAGAAAAACACATATACATTTAGTTCAAATTACAGCTCTAAAAGTTTGCATACAATGGTTTTTATCGGGTTTAAACACGGAAGTAAGCGATTCAATTCGCGTTTTCGCTCATGCAAGAGCTAAAACTTTACGATATGAACAATAAGTTTATTATATAAAACAGCATAAGTGATGAAAGATGAAGCGAGCTTTAGAGTATACATTTTTAGCATTTCACGTGAAGAGAGAGTGTGAAGCTTGTGGGTAGGTTACCAACGGGGAAGACTTTGAGCTCGGTATTTTGAACACGTTGAAGTTTCGTTCAACTGGACTCAGAAATACACAAAAGAGTAGGAGAAGAGTACGTTAGAACAGGACGAACGAATGTATTGTACACAAAAACCGCCATATGGAGGTTAAGCCCCGAGCGTCTGCCGTAAACACTCTTTAACGCACCGAGTCTCTTTCGAGCACGGAAACAAACATCTTCGATATGAGAAGAGAAAGATAAAGATCCAATGTGAAACCTAGATACTTAAAAATTTTTAACTGCTCTTTTACATGGTTATTCATATACCAAGATAAAACTGCGTTTCGATCAGCTGGGCATTTTGTAAAAAGCATGAATACAGTTTTTGAGTAACTGAACTGAAGGCGCCAACATTTACAATAATCATATAGTTTATCACAAAAAATTTGTAACAATTTTTCACCTTGTTTGTTGTTAAAACACTAACAAAAAGTGGCAATGTCGTCTGCATAAAGAGAAATACGCACATCCGTAGAAGAAACTCTCTACCACGAAGTACGTACTTATTAAACACTTTCTGTTCTAAAATAAAACGGATTTGTATTCGTTTGTCGTCTGATTCTGTAATCCCTCTGTATGTCCTTTATTTTTGTATGAAAGGTTAACGAACAAGATCTAGATGAATAGATATGGCCTTGCCCCCTCGGGTTCAAAGTTGCGGAAGACGATGCTGGAGTATTAACCGAAATGTTCTTAGGGTGAAGGTGGGGGTGGAATCCCCTCGAGCTAACATGCGAGGCAAAGTAAATCAGAGTCATCACACATGAGTTTCCACGGTGTGAATGAGAATTCCACGGTGTGTATCCAATATACTATGTAAGCTTTCTGGCGCGTCTGTCACAAGAAACGCAACTATTTACATTTATCTTCTTGAAGAAATTGCCGACGAAGTGAATCTGTTCGAAGTTTCCCCGCTGTTATATAACAGAGAAAGTTTGCAAAAAGCATGATCGTAGCTGCTATCATTTAGAAATGCTTCGAGCGGATTAAATTATCACAAGAGTAAAGTTTTTCTGTTACTTCTCGGACGATAACTCTTCTCAGCTAATAGCCTTCGGTTGTTTGTGCGAGACTGGGTATAAATTATTGAATCCGAATAGTAACGCTCATCTTCGATTCGCTTGACACTACTTAGAATAATATTGTTTGAGTTCAGTCAAAGCTTCTCTACAGAAACATATTGAACACTTTTTATATACCGTAAGAATAAAAAGGTAGCGAAAATACGGCAAAGCTTCAATCTCGGTTACTTTCAAAACTTTTTCAATTTTAGTTCTTTATATTTTGCGATATAGAAAAAGAGAAGATGGCCATTTTGCAGACCTTGAAAAGCTATATCAAATGGCTAGAGTTAAAACTCCTCAATGTCACAAGCGGTAAAAAGATAATTTTTTCTTTTATCAACTTGGCGCCAAATCATCGTTTTCCAAGTGCTCTGTTGAGGCGATTAGGAAATTTTTTTTGTTTTTTTGTTGTTGTTGAGTGAAAGATCGTTTGATAGAATAAAGAAATATCAACATTATTTCGCGATATATCTCACTTCCTACATTTTCGTTCTATCAACATGTTGACTTTGAGCAACTAGTTATAACATATTTTAATATTTCGAATTAACCTTCGAGTAAGTTGTTAAAATAAACTGCTTAAAGTTTATGATACCGAAAATTCAATAAAGCTAGGGAAAAACAAGTATTTTAAACTGTGACTTCATGTTCTTTTTAAAAACTAGTTACTGAATCAAACAGTATTTCGGCAAAATAAACTGCTGTTATGGTAAAAAAGGCTATTATGTATTAGACATACATTTTCTATTTAGAATGGTCATAAGAAAGAAACTGCGCTTGAGCTTGATCAGGTTAAATTCATCCATGTGAGACTTCTAATCAATACGTCCGCTAGAAGCGCAAGCGCCGAGGCATTCACAGGCTTTGTGAGCTGTAAAGATGATGACTTTTGGAGAAAATAGCAGGTTTCTACGTGTTGCACGTTCCGAGAAATCTTTATTTTGCTTTTACAGCAAAAAACCGCTGTAATCGTCGTTTGTACCCATTTTTCTATAAGTTTTAATACTCATTCTGTCTCGCCTCTTTAATAGAATTCCAAACACTTCTGCTATTTTCTCGAATTCAAAATTGAATTTAAGAATTTTAGTTTGTGAATTAGAGTAGATTATGCACTGTCGTATGTGGAAGGGATAATAGGGTAAAGAAAATAAAGACGATGCACTTGTCTCTAATGAATCAATGTCGACTACATCACAAAATTTGTCAACACAAAAATTATATCAACAATCTATTTTTCACGGTACACAGCCTTAGTCAACATTGGAGGGAGCTTGGGCAGGCTATTAGCCGAAATATTAAAACACTATAACAATTTATCCGAATTCTATTTAATCTATTCAGTGTTGTTAAAGATAATCAGACACAAATTACAAATGAATTTGAACCTATCAGTAATGACCGTTATCGAATAGTCCAAGGTAATATATTTGATCCGGTAAAACCAGAATTTGAATCAAATATGAAAAGACAGCTCGAGGAGCTCTATCCAACTATGTATGATTCAGTGAGAAAATAAATGCGCTCGACTTTTGCCTTTCCAGCACCTTAGTTCTGAAAATTCTCTCGAGACAGATGTCGAACCACATTGGATGGAAAGAGAGGTTCTGCAAAATGTGATTTTTTGACCGAACGTCGTATCCTGCGCCCATAATATTTGACTATGGGTGGCGGTCCAATTGCTCATCCATTTGCTCAAAATAGTGTTAAGTAATAACATCTTCCATTTTGGTGGAAATTTCTTATACAGAAATTCGGTACGGCAATTGGAACCCCATGTGCGCACCATATGCTAATTTGTTCGTTCTGTTAAATGAACGGTTTTCCAGCACACAGAGGAGAGTATCTAATCATGTCATTCACCGACTCAATCTCAATAAGCAATTGTTTCGGACTATTAAGAACTCTATAGAAATCGCAGTTAACACGAACTGACCCACATAGACCATAAGTTAGTTTAATATCACGGTCTTTCAGCACACGACATAGAATATTTAACGCCAGGTACAGTCCCCATTGCAGGAGACAAAACAGAAGAGTTTATTCTTTTCAGAAGAGAAGATCTGTCATTGCAAAAATAGCAGAACATTTGAAGCATGTATGTGTGTGTATATTGTCCTATTTGATTTTGTCGAAGAAATGCACAGTTCCTGTGAAGAAAAAGAAGCAAAAACGTTTATTCTTTTTGCCAGAGCAAATCTATCATTATTGTAAAAGAATAAACATTTGGAGCATGTATGTGTATGTATTTGCTTCTCCTTTGAAGAAGTTTCGATCAATGGGTACAGTCCCCGTTGCAGGAAAAGAAAGAGAAATGTTTACTCGTTTTATTCGAGACAATCTTTGGTTCCAAAAAGCGTGGCAACAAAAGACTACATAGCACACGCCCATCGAATGTGCCTTACTCGGTTACCCAGCGGGCGACGGATTTGCGTGTTTTCATCGTTGTATTTCATGTTTCACGCACTTTATTCCCTTGACTGAAAGTCTAGATGATATGAAGCAAATGTGGACGTCGTCGTCCGCATAGTAGAAAAACACAGTAGCTGGGAAAGTGTGAGATTCTCAAATCGTTTTTTTAACTAGATGGGGTGGGAGTAACATGACTGGGGTTATTGCACAGGTTGAATGATAAAACCACTCTTGGTGTGCTTTAGGAGCAATACTATTGAATGTTTTATCCATGGGGACTTGCGATTGTGTCGTGATTTGATCCAGTCAGGATTAAGATTAGTTGAATCTGATAGTGGTTTGAATTAGTATTATTTATTGTGTCTGATATCAGTAGATTTTGAGAAAATATCCCAACAAAATAATATTTCAATGAACCCAGATCTTCATCCAATAAAATAAAAAACTCTTACCACAAAGTTTCTCGCTTAAAGTTCTGAAGTGTGTGCCATTAACCATGAAGCAGTTAATTAACCAAATTAAACCTTATTCGCAACAAATACCGCTCTAGATCTTTGATCCTTGTTCTACCATGAAGAAATCTTGTATTATCAAACAGTACCATCATATTATTATCAAGCACTGGACGAAACACATTCAATTTATCCTCAGCCAAAATAATCGAATTTAGCTCCTTAACAGCTTCTTGTTTTTCAGCTGTTTCATTGCTTAATCGTTTATTGTCAACAATATCCCGTCGATAACGTAGATGACCATCACCCAAAATAATTGATCCACAAATATAATCAATATCACCTTTTCGAAAATCAGGCGGTACATTTATTTGATATGCTTCATATCTCAATAAGTATTGACTTTTTTCCGACAATCTGTTGAGAATGTCAATAGCTTTAACCATTTGAAATTTACCTCCGTCTTCACTGCGATCACATTGAACAACGTAGAGTGCAACAAATTTTGGTGCATTATGTTCATATGAACAATCTGTATGGAAAACAAGTTCTCGATCTAATTGTGAAGCTTGTAGTTTTGATTCAGGTGTGTCCAATTCTAAAACTTTCACAGGCCAGATAAAAGAATTTTCGTCATCATTGTATAGACAGCAAACACCACCAATTTTTTCAATTATATCCAGTGCTGCTTTGTTACAGTCATTGTTTGGAATCTGTTCACATTTCACTTTGACGTATCCATCCTTTTCCAGTTGAGCTCGTACATCTTCCATCAGTGTATCATCAAAATTAGTGCAATTAAGCACAAAACAAGTGTCTGTCTCCATTATACGTATACAGTTGTACGGAAACAGTTTGCTAAAGAAATATTAGACTTTTAAATTTTTGATACAGGAAGAATTGATTTTTTCGTTAGGAAATCGTTAATATATTGATTTGTATTCTCTGTATGCAATCAATCTAAGTGGGCCAAACAACATTATATATGACAATATCACTGAAGAAATTGAAAATTAATCAAGAGTCATACTGGCATACCCACACCCGCGATAGATATTGTATTGTTCTAAACCGTCTATGTAGAATGAAAAAATGAAAAGCCAAACTCTGTCAGTAAGTTGTCGAGAGCTCATACGATCGATATTCAGCCAATTCAACTGACGGTCCGCGACTACTTCGATGACTGGCGGTACAGTCTTCATTGCACGAGACAAAACACATGAGTTTATTCTTTTCAGAAGAGAAAATCTAGCATCGCAAAAACAGCAGAATATTTGAAGCACGTATATGTGTATATTGTCGTATTTGACTTTGCCGAAGAAATGCACAGTCCCTGTGAAGAAGTAGATTTTTTGATCGAACGTCGGATCCTGCGACCGTCGAATGTGTCTTAGTCGATTACCTAGCGGGTGACGTTACTCACATAGACCATAAGTCAATTTAATATCAGGCTCTTTCAGCACACGACATAGAATACTTAGCGCCGGGTACAGTCCCCGTTGCAGCGGACAAAACAGAAGAGTTTATTCTTTTCAGAAGAGAAAATCTATCATTGTAAAAAGAATAAACATTTG